ACACAAATGTGTCTCTCACAACACACAAATGTGTCTCTCACAACACACAAATGTGTCTCTCAGAACACACAAATGTGTCTCTCACAACACACAAATATGTCTCTCACAACACACAAATGTGTCTCTCACAAACACAAATGTGTCTCTCACAACACACAAATGTGTCTCTCACAACACACAAATGTGTCTCTCACAACACACAAATGTGTCTCTCACAACACACAAATGTGTCTCTCACAACACACAAATGTGTCTCTCACAACACACAAATGTGTCTCTCACAACACACAAATGTGTCTCTCACAACACACAAATGTGTCTCTCACAACACACAAATGTGTCTCTCACAACACACAAATGTGTCTCTCACAACACACAAATGTGTCTCTCACAACACACAAATGTGTCTCTCACAACACACAAATGTGTCTCTCACAACACAAATGTGTCTCTCACAACACACAAATGTGTCTCTCACAACACACAAATGTGTCTCTCACAACACACAAATGTGTCTCTCACAACACACAAATGTGTCTCTCACAACACACAAATGTGTCTCTCACAACACACAAATGTGTCTCTCACAACACACAAATTGTCTCTCACAACACACAAATGTGTCTCTCACAACACACAAATGTGTCTCTCACAACACAAAATGTGTCTCTCACAACACACAAATGTGTCTCTCACAACACACAAATGTGTCTCTCACAACACACAAATGTGTCTCTCACAACACACAAATGTGTCTCTCACAACACACAAATGTGTCTCTCACAACACACAAATGTGTCTCTCACAACACACAAATGTGTCTTCACAACACAAATGTGTCTCTCACAACACACAAATGTGTCTCTCACAATCACAAATGTGTCTCTCACAACACACAAATGTGTCTCACAACACACATAATGTGTCTCTCCAGAACTAACAAATGTGTCTCTCACAACACATAAATGTGTCTCTCACAACACACAAATGTGTCTCTCACAACCACAAATGTGTCTCTCACAACACACAAATGTGTCTCTCACAACACAAAATGTGTCTTCACAACAACAAATGTGTCTCTCACAACACTAAATATGTCTCTCACAACATCAAATGTGTCTCTCACACACATAAATATGTCTCTCACAAACAAAATGTGTCTCTCACAACAACAAATGTGTCTCTCACAAACAATAAATGTGTCTCTACACAGACAAATGTTCTCTCACAACACACAAAATGTGTCTCTCAGAGACACAAATGTTTCTCATAAAGCACACAACATGTGTCTCTCAAAACACACAATGTGTCTCTCACAACAAAAATATGTCTCTCACAACACAAACATGTGATCGTTCACAAACACAAATGTGTCTTCACGTAGACACACAATGTGTTTCCACACACAACTGATCGTTCAGAAACACATAATTGCTGGCGTGCAGTAGACCAAGGACATTGATGGGTTATATGCTGAGATGATTTTGTTACCGTTTTATCTCTACTCAGATCTGTGCTTGCTGCATTTATTTAATATAGCTTGAAGGAAGGAAAGTTGCCTTGGCATGGGCAGAAAGGATGCGCTCTTCTTTTTGTATAAAAAGAAATAACAATAATAAGAATAATAAGAATATTGATAATAATAATAATAATAATAATAATAATAATAATAATAATAATAATAATAATAATAATAATAATAATAATTCTGTTGAATATTCCGGGTTAAGTGCAAAGCATCACTGATAGAATTATAACAACAACAAAAAAGTCAGATTGCAGAGAATGAAATTTTAAGAAGGAACCAGCCGGGTGGATCATCTCAAGTGTTACAACGTATGTGTGAGTTGCTTGTTTTCACGGATCTGGAAAAAGAAAGATATATGATTGGATAGATAAGGAAGCAGTGTGGCAGGTGTTGTAAATGTGTGGAATAAGTGGTAGGTTATTAAGGGCCGTAGAAAGTTTTTATGGAGGAGGGGAATCTAAATAAATTTGAAGATATCCTCAGTCATGAATTCAATAAAAAAAATTCTCGTGAATTCAGTCATGCATTACCCTCTAAATTACTGTACTTGTACCATGGGACGTCAGGAACTCTCTGTGGCGAGCACCTATCTCTGTTTAATCACGTATTAGGAGACAGTGACGGAGTCCTTCAAGGGACTTAGGAAGAGCTGAAGTGGACCAGGTATTGTGTGTGTGTGTGTGTGTGTGTGTGTGTGTGTGTTGTGTGTGTGTGTGTGTGTGTGTGTGTGTGTGTGTGTGTGTGTGTGTGTGTTTGTGTATGTGTGTGTGTGTGTGTGTGTGTGTGTGTGTGTGTTTGTGTGTGTGTGTGTGTGTTTGTGTATGTGTGTGTGTGTGTGTGTGTGTGTGTGTGTGTATACACAAATGGTCCAAGTCGGACCGAAACGTCGTCGTAAGCTTCTCTCTTTTATGTGCGGGTTATTTGTGTATTGTTCCAGTCACGGTATTGTGCCTTTTTGTTATTTATGTGTGTGTGTGTGTGTGTGTGTGTGTGTGTGTGTGTGTGTGTGTGTGTGTGTGTGTGTGTGTGTGTGTGTGTGTGTGTGTATGTGTGTCATGAGGCAAACTATGCTAAAATGTAAACTTGCATGGCATTCCACTATTGGTAGTGCTTACTGACCTTCCTGCATCTCTCACAACCACTACCACCACTCTCTGCTACCACTTCCTCCTCCACCTCCTCCAACTCTTCCTCCAGGGAATCAGTGCGCGTCTTAGTAAAGCAATCCCGAGCCTAATTACATCCTTGAATGTGCAATAACAGTGTAGTTAGCTGCATTAATGAGGAATTATCTATGGGTCTGAGGCGGGTTTGTCAGGGTCTAGTGTAGGAGACTGGCGTCAACACTCGAGGGGCCAGTCACTTTCCTGAGGCTCTGCCACTTTCATGGCGTGTTCGTCACATTTCAGAATGGTCAGTCACTTTTACAAGGACTCTGTCGCTTTCTCGAAGGGTTTGTCACTTTCCAGAGGATCTGTCACTTTCACTACGGGTTCGTCATGTTTCAGAATGGTCAGTCACTTTTACAAGGACCGTGTCCCTTTGTCGAAGGGTGAATTACTTTCCAGAGGGTTATTCCCAGAGAATAATCATCTTCTATTTACAATCATTCCCTGATCCTTTTCTCTGTCTGAGGTTGTCAGTTCTCTTTACGTAGGCTGGTTACACTATTTCCCATTTCCATTATGCAACTCTTACCTACTTTAAATTCCATCATTTATTTATTATTGTTGTTAATTTATATGTCAGGACAGATCAGCTGAGTCATCATAATTTTATGACTCGCTGCCCCTCACGCGTCACTTCACTTGCAAAAATTTATCTAGGTCTTACATGGTTTTAAAATATTTTACAGGAGCTTTTTTTTCGTCATTTACTTGTCTATTCGTATCATGTTCATTCCTTCTTGTAAACAGTTTACATAAGATTAAAAATATTATTATTGGAGCAAGTACTGATCCTTGTGGGACCTCACTGGTGACATTTCTTTAGAAAGACACTTTATTTCCTCTTGATTTCTCCTTGATTTCCCCAATGTAATTCATTTGACTATCGTAGTAGCATTCCATTACCCTAGACTTAACTTTCGATATAATTAATCTGACCATCGTAGCAGCTTAATGGATCACATGCAAAAATATGCTGATGTAACACAAAGCTTTTCGAGAATTGTCAATTGATTTCATTGCATGTGTTGACGTTGTTGTAGTGCTTCTAACACCACTTGTTAACGAGACAACGCTGTGTCAAAAACAAAGTCTCTATAATGTCTGTACAGTGTTTCCTATTTCCACTTTTTTCCCTGCCAATTTTTTTCCTTATAATTAAGTCCTAAAAAATAATCCAGAGCAGAGAGTATATTTCTTCCTCACAATCTTCTAACTCCAGGATAATATCTTATCTACTTTTTTTTGTGTGTGTTAATTTCCAATAGCATATTTTTTATCCATGGTTATTTCATTGAGCTCCTTTCAAAATGACTGCTGGGAGTTCCAGTTCAGTGTATATAATGGTTCATCTTCTGTGGATACTTTCTGGAACTTCATATATATTACAAATTTCTTTCTGTGATTTCGTCCTCTGTTCTCATTATGTCCTCCGTGCTCAGTTTATTTTTTTTACGCTCTTAAATGCTGTTATATTCCTTATTTTTTTCCATAAAGAGAAGGACGGTATATTCATCGTACATTGCATATTCATTTTTAACCTTGTTTGCTTCTATGGTAAGTTTTTTTTTATTGCAGTAGTTCCAAGTTTCCGATTTGTGGGTCTTTTGGCACTGGTTCCAATCTTTCCGATTTGTGGGTCTTTTGGCACTGGTTCCAATCTTTCCGATCTGTTTATTTTTTCTTTTCATTGGTTCCAAGATTTCGCTCAATGGACAGTAGTTCATTTTCCTCTCTCAGTTATGTCCGCTGCCTACTTGTCTTTCTTTGAATACAAGATTTTTTTTTTCTTTTTGACGTATCGCCTAAGTGCTTGCAATAACTATTCTTCTTCCGTCCAGTGTGAATGTTGCATTACCTTCCAGCTTAACAGTGTTGCTGAATTAAAAAAGGATTTATAGTTTGTGTTTTTCTATAGCTCGTAGATTTGTTCCGGTATTAATGTAGTTCCATGTTTACAGTAATATGACCAGGTTTATCCCACATACTTTTCATTATTTATCGTCTCATACCTGGTACATTATCCCTCGCTTTTCTCTCAAACCTCGCCCCCTCCTCTCTCTCTCTCTCTCTCTCTCTCTCTCACTCTCACTCTCACTCTTTCCGTTGAAACCTGCAGCATCCTTCTCTTTCAAACCTGTTGCCATCATCTCCTCCCCCCTCCTTCCACTCTAAAACCTTCCTTTATCTCTTCTCTAAAACCACCTTCCATTTATCTTTACTTTTAAATCTTCCATTTCCTCTCTCTCCTCTCACACCTAATATTATCTCTCTTGTCACCCCTAACATTATCTCTCCTCTCCTAGATGCCTCCGGCTTCAAGTGACTCCCCCACAAGTGCAGCCGCTGCCGCAGCAGCAGCAGCCGAGGAGGATCCCCGCTTGCGGCTCTTCCTGCTGCGGGAGGTGGAAGCCAGGAGGCGGGTGGAGCAAGAGATGGCGAGGCTCAAGTACACCTACACGTCGCACCTCCACCACAGTCTCCATCACAGCCTCCACCACAGCCTGCATACCGCCCTGCAACCCGCACATCACCTTACTAAAGGTGAGTCTTGCCTACCTTGAGTGTTGAAACCTCCTTAGCTGTGTCAAACGTTCCTCTTCTCTCGCTAGTTAGCTTCCGTGACCTTCTCTTCTTCCTTTCTCTCCCCTCCTCTTTCTCTTCCTTTTCCTCCTCCTTCTCTTCCTTCTTTTCTATCCTTAATTCGTGTATCTAGATAATAAATCACATAGCTCTTAATTTAGACAGAAGTGAACCGTTATCAACAGATAGTCCTCTGTTATCTGTCTTTCTCATATATTTCCATTTACTCCTCCTCCTCCTTTCTCCCTGTTAATCTTGCTCCACTGTTACACCTTTTTTTCATCACCTTCTCCAACAAAAAACTAAAATGAATCTTATATTCACAAAATTACTTAATCTTAACAGTGAATCTCAAAAAAAAAAAAAAAAAAAAAAAAATCTCAAAGAGAATATCAAAACGCGACCGTAATTGTAGTTCATTAAATTTTGGAATTTCTCATTGTCAAAATATATCCGTGCAGTTGTCTAGCAAGAGAACCTTTTATTTTCTTTTTAAGAGGGTTTTAAAGAGGGTCTTGTAGCAACTTTCAGATACATAGACTTCTTGACGCAGGTGGATGCGTGTGAGTGTGTGGTTTTGCAATATTATTATTATTATTATTATTATTATTATTATTATTATTATTATTATTATTATTATTATTATTATTATTATTATTATTATTATATAGATTCTATTATGATAATGAGCATTATTGTTTTCACGAAGAGCTTAATCCGAAGGGGGTCATAAAATGTCTTGAAATGGTTATCAGGTCTGATCCAAGGAATTGTCTGTTAGTCCCAAGTCCTATGATCACGATCCCTCCACCAGAGTTAAGGACTGACATTCTCTTTAATGACCTCTCACCGCTAATGGCTTTTCAACTAATACAAGTCCATTATCATGCGTTCATTATCACACGTTGCTTGTCAGGAGACCCTCCCAAGATTTAGTGCCTTCTTTTTGCAAGCAGCCAGGCTCGTTATTGGAGTAATTACCTGTGTGTAAGGTGGTTAACAGCTCCCAACAGTGCCACCCGTGGCCTTATCACCTTCCTCAGATAGAAAGTGATGGTGTATAATGTGACGTCCGTGCTGTGGTCAAGGTTGTGTGATGCGAGGAGGAGGAGCGACAGCAGGGGTGGCTGACACGCATACACACACGCGAGCGCGCATACACACGCACACTCAGGTACGATAAAGCTCTTGGAGCAGGGAGTAGTAGCGACCAGTGAACGGGCGGGGCCAGGAACCGTGACTCAACCCCTGCAACTACAAACAGGTTAGTAGAAATGAGTAAACACACACACACACACACACGAGCTGAGTCTCGGCCCCTGCAACCACAATTAGGAGAGTACAATTAGGTGAGTACACACACAGCAAATATCAGAAACTTAAGACGAATGAACATGTCGGGATTATTTGGAGACACGACACTGTAAGCAGCAGCAGCAGCAGTAACAGAAACAATAGCAACAACAACAGCAGCAACAGCTGCAACACCACAACCAGCAGCAGTAATAGCAGCAGTACCAGCAATGTCACCACCACCACCACTAACCCCCCATCCCCACCTCTACCAGCAGCAACAACAGTGGTGTTAGAGGTGGGGACCTTAATCACCGCAGAGCAATTGCCACCACACCGGAGTGTTGGGGTGATAAGATCTGGTGTGGTAATTGGTGGTCGTGATGACGGGGTGAGGGGAACCTCCCCTTTTTCTTCACTTGTACAGTGATGTTACTAGTGAAACCCCACGAGGATTAATGCTAGTGGAGTGACATCACTAGTGGAACTTTAGGACTAGCATTAGTGGGGTGATATGTCTCTAGTGGGAACACAAGGATCATTTCTTACCCTAAAAGAATGACCCGGTGGTCTGGTGGCTTGTGACCCGGTGGTCTGGTGGCTAAAGCTCCCGCTTCACACACGGAGGGCCCGGGTTCGATTCCCGGCGGGTGGAAACATTTGACACGTTTCCTTACACCTGTTGTCCTGTTCACCTAGCAGCAAATAGGTACCTGGGTGTTAGTCGACTGGTGTGGGTCGCATCCTGGGGGACAAGATTAAGGACCCCAATGGAAATAAGTTAGACAGTCCTCGATGACGCACTGACATTCTTGGGTTATCCTGGGTGGCTAACCCTCCGGGGTTAAAAATCCGAACGAAATCTTATCTTATCTTATCTTATCTTATATATATATATATATATATATATATATATATAATTATATATATATATATATATATATATATATATATATATATATATATATATATATATATATGTGTGTGTGTGTGTGTGTTCGTAGATAAAAAAAATGTGACAGTGAAGTCAAGATTTGCTTTCGACTGACTCAGCATGTGAAGTGTAGTATCGGTGATTGACCTGAGTCCGAACAGAATCATAACTATTCACGTACTCTATCCGTTCTTCACGTACACTACTGCGACCCTCACGTGCATTATCAGATCCTTATTCTGTTTCACCAAGGTAGAACTGTCTTTCGCCTCTGGCGGATATAGGGTCGAGCCTCTACTACTCATAGTAATGAATAATAATAATAATAATAATAATAATAATAATAATAATAATAATAATAATAATAATACCAATAATTTTTCACCAGAATGGTAAACTTGGATGAAATATAATATATGTAGAATATAGTATATAGTACAATATACGTATATGAGAGGATATGAAATTTAACAACGTATAGGAAATTAAATGAAAGATAAAATTTGGAGTATGTGTATTATATACCCATATATAAAAATATCCTTTATCTGTAAGATTTCCCAGACGAAAAGATTGTTTTTACATTCGTGGGGCATAATCTAAACCCGTATGGGTCACACAATGGCTGGATGAATCAGAGGCAGTCAGTTTCAAACCGGTGAAGGGAGAAGGACGGAGCCAGTTCCTTCCATCAAGAGCCCCTTTCCCCCGGCATCAAGGAACACCTCTCTGGAGGAGCTCGCGGCCGAGACAATGCACGAAACTCGACTATAACAGTGAAACTCATCATATTACATCATCGGTGAGTCAACTGAATACACTGATGGCTGTTCATCGATATACTGTCAGTCACACTGTTGTAGTCTTCGAAAATCTCTTTGATTGACTGACTGACTGACTGATACACGCGCGTTTGATGCCTTTTAACTCTCTTAACTTTCTCTTCTTGCCTAACCACAGCCTTTTCCTTGTTTCACTACCCCAGCCTTTTCCTGCCCATTTTTGTCATCGTTCTTATGGCCTTACAAAACAAAATGCCTGAAGGAAAACAGAATCAAACTTCTTGACGTATTGGAACCAGATATACAGATGCGGATAACGCGGTATAAGGCTCTTTCAAGTGACTTGAGAAAGCTCACTACCTAACGAATCGCTGCCAATAAAGAATAGCATTTGCGTCTGTTTTTATCGTGTTGGTATTTTATACCATTTCTCTCCTTAACACAATGTCGATTGGCACGAAAAGTGGTCGAGTATAATTCTTAACGACATGTCGAGACTGACGTGATTCATGACTCACGAAATCGTAATGACACGATTGCAAACAAAGCATACCACGGACGGGGATAGAACTCTCTGATCGCGGGCTCTATCCCCGTCCGTGGTATGGTCTGACGCGATTTTTAGATGATGGGGATGTTACATTAGCGTTTCTAGGCCTCTAGGCTACCAGTATGTTAGTCCCTACACTCCTATAGATCCTATAATCATTGTTCAGCAGTCACTGCAGATTTAAACGAAATATAACAATTATTTATTCGATAAAATCACTAAATCCAAACAAGGGAATTCCGTGTGTTTGACGCGTAACCAACATTACCAACAAAAGAACCTCCCTCCCTTGCTCAACTCGTAGTTAACACGACGTATCTGGGGGGAACTCCCATGCCCAACCCGTAATTAACACAGCGAATAACGGAAACTCAAGCGCCCAACCCGCAATTAACATTATATAGGGAAACACTCCCGTGCCCAACCCGTAATTAACACCTGTGTCTCCTTCAGCGACACAGATATTGCGACATGATTTTTACTTTATGTCTCACGCTAGTTGTTCTCTGGCTAATTAGTTACAGGTCAGTGGTACAGTAATTGGCGTCCAGTGAATAATTTAGCGCGTATGCTTCCTCTGTCTCGCCACGAGTCTTGTCCATGGCAGTGTTACACACACGTGATGAGAGTTATGGACAGCACTGTTATTATATATATATATATATATATATATATATATTATATATATATATATATATATATATATATATATATATATATATATAATATATATATATTTTATATATGTCGTGCCGAATAGGCAGAACTTGCTATCTTGGCTTAAATAGCAACGCTCATCTTGTCATATAGGACAAACGAAAATTTGTGTATGCAATAATTTCGCCAAAATTATTCTGAACCTAACGAAAAATATATATTTCACTGTGTTAGTTCAGTATTAAATTATTGTAAACAAATCTAAAATATACTTAGTTGGGTTAGGCTAAAATAAATTGTTCTTGTTATAATAAGGTTAGGTAAGTTTTCTAAGATTTTTTTGGTGCAAAATTATAAATTTTTACATCAATATTAATGAAAAAAATATATCTTTAAACGTGTAAGAGAAAATTTCAGAAAGGACTTAATATTAAATGAGTTCTTGCTAATTGACCAGTTTTACATATTCGGCACGACATATATATAATTAATATATATATATATATTATATATATAATATATATATATATATATATATATATATATATAAATATATATATATATATATATATATATATATTTATATATATATAATATATATAGCAAGGAATTTGCGAGAGCAGGCGAAATATACACAAACACTGATCTCTGGCTGAAGGAGGCTCGAACCTACGAACCTTAGGACAAAGTACGCAGTGCTTTACCAATCTACCCACACTGGACAATACCTTGGCGTGTAGCTTGC